AGATAGATTTGACTATAAATATCAATTAAACTAATAAAAATGTCATATAATTTAATAAAATAACATCTTAATTAATAAAAATCTTTAAATTTTCGTATATAAATATTTTATAAATGTTTTAGAATGGGAAAGCAAATATGGAAAGGTGCAATAACGTCATTTTCACAACCATGACTAGGGAGCAAAATTAAAAAGAGAATTATTCCCCCTTCATGCAATTGTCATGAAATTTCCACCCATTTTCCTGGAAGGTTGTTGGCGTTTTCTCTACCATTTTCTACACATATTTAATTCAAGAAGAGGGGAAAATCAGAGAAATCATTCATAATAAGTAAGAAAGTTTAATGGTTTTCCATCGCTTCAACACCCTCAAAGCTGTAAGTATAATTTATTTTGAAATATATCCATCAAATATTTTCCTTCATTGATCTTTTATCTACTACTGTATTTGCCTTATTTCTTAGTTCATATCTGACTTCACATATTTTCTCTGGACCAATTGCAGCTCACTATAAAACATTGAGATCCGGATACATTTGTTTGTTGGGTAACATACTTGGACTTTGTATATCTATTATTTTTCTTTTCTTTTATTTTTATTTTATGAAAGTACTGATGCATCTATGTTTTAAACAAGCTAAACAATTATTCACAATATTGTTTCCAAGTCCCTGATATTATAGTCTCTCAAGGTTTCTAAGTTTCGAGTATCAAATCTGAATTTCCAAGTTTGATTAATTGTACGTGCCTCATGTTGTTTCCTGGATTTGTTTCTTTTTTGTTTTTGTTCGAAATCTTGTTCACATATTTTTAATTTTTAGATAGTCAAAATATGATATCATTTTTTTATAATTAGAATAATATACAATAAACAATTTTTTTTTTAATTTTGTCTCTAAAGATAGAAAACATGATCTAAGATATTTATCTCTGTCACAAACTAAAAAAAAAAAAAAAAAAAAGCAAAAAAATATGGTTTTTATTTTTAAAAAATTAATTCATATCCAACATAGAAAATAATAATACAAAAACAATTTTTTTTCTTATTTTTGTGTCTCTAAAAGATATTAATTGTTTTTTTTCTTTTTTACATTAATTTTCAGGTCTGACAAAAGAAATAGCTTGCATATACAATATCAACAAAACTTTAAACTCATCATGCAAACAACCTCTTCATCACATCTTCTTCCTATCATTGGAAAATTATGTCTTTCAAGCTTTAAGGTGAAATCACGCGAAGAAGCTTCATAGATCATTGTATGCTACTCCTTATCAGAAAGATTGCGTTTTCTTAAGGATGACAAAGAATCTAAAAAGGAAAAACTCATTTCACCACAGCTTCGTCATGCAATTGAAGAATCAAGATCTACAATTGTTGTTTTCTCAAAAAACTATGCTTCTTCCACATGGTGTTTAGATGAACTTGTTCAAATTGTTCATTGCAAGAATATAACAATTTTTCCAGTTTTCTATAATGTGGATCCTTCAGTGGTTAGAAAACAAACAGGAGAATTTGAAGAAGTCTTTGTCAAACATGAAAAAACTTTTAGAGAGGATATTGGAAAGGTGCAAACTTGGAGAAGTGCTTTGACAGAGGTGGCCAATCACTCTGGATTTCCCTTAAATGATGGGTATGTGACACTTATTTCTTTTTTTTATAGTGGAAAGCTTAGTTATCAAAATGATATTAAATGTGCTAGTCATGAGTGTTGACACTACAAATTAAGCATTGAACTTCTTATTCAAATCAAGTTTTATCTTTATCAGAAATTTAAAAGTATTCATACAATGAAATATAACTACAATAGTGACTGAATGCTAAAACTAAACCTAATCAAAAAGGAAAAAATGAAAGTTTTATGTGTATAAACCTATAGGCAAACTGTGTACATAGATAATTTCTATGATATGCACTATTTATTCATTAGTATATTCATGACTAGCTAGTGTTGTAACCACAATTTTTTCTTGATCTTTTCCACTCTTCAGGTACGAGACACAATTTATTCAAGAAATTCTTAAGGAAATATTCAAATTATGTTTTCCAAAATATACAAGTGTTGAGGGCCTAGTAGGCATAGATTCACGTTTAGAGAAACTAAAGAGATTTATAAGTCCCGAGTCACATGATGTCCGCATGATTGGGATTTTTGGAATGGGAGGAATAGGTAAGACAACAATTGCTACAGTTGCCTATCATGAGTTGTTTTCTGCTGAATTTGAAGGTCGTAGTTTTTTGGCTAATGTTAGAGAGATTTCCCAAAAAAAGGGTCTACTTTATTTACAAAAGACGCTTCTTTCCCAAATTCTGGATATGAAAAAAGATGACATAAACATAGACAATGTCTATGGTGGAATAAGCATGATAAGAAGTAGGTTGGAGCATAAGAAGGTTCTTATTGTTTTAGATGATGTGAACCATCCAAGGCAATTAAAAGAATTAGCTGGCAAGCATGACTGGTTTGGTATGGGCAGTAGGATCATAATAACATCAAGAAACAAACATTTGTTGACATCCCATGGAGTAGATGGAGTTTACAAGGCTGAAGAATTAAATGATGATGAAGCCCTCCAATTCTTCATTTCAAAAGCCTTTAAGAAACATCAACCTTCAGAAAAATTTATGGGGGTATGCAAATGTGTTGTACAGTATGCTAGGGGTCTTCCATTAGCTCTTGAAGTTTTGGGCTGCTCTTTGTGTGAAAAAGAAGTTTATATATGGGAAGATGTATTGGAAAGACTAAAAGAATACGGTGATGAAAATATACTGAATGTACTTCAAATAAGTTTTGATGGGCTAAGAGATTTAGAGAAAAAAATATTTCTTGATATAGCATGTTTCTTTAAAGGAATGGGTATAGGTTATGTGACAAAAGTTCTTAAAAGTTGTGGTTTTTTTCCAGATGCTGGAATAGATAATCTAATTGATAATTCGCTCATAATTATAGCTGATGGTAGATTGTGGATGCATGATTTGTTACAACAAATGGGTCAACAAATTGTCTATAGAGAGTGTCCCGAAGAGGCTGGAAAACGTAGTAGATTGTGGATAGAAGCAGACATTCGTCATGTATTGACAGAAGGCACAGTAAGCAATTCAATTTTGTTATAATCATGTGCACTTTTTCAATCATCATTTGCTTTAACTAGTTAAATATCTATATGAGGTGTGAGCTAGCGCATTTTTAGCATAGTAGCTAGCCTCTCCAGATTGCACAAGCATGTGTAATTTTTTTTTTTTTTAATTTTCTGTATTTGTTGACCAATTTATAGTCCGATTGAGCATATTAAAGTCTCTTGTTCCTCAAAAACACTTTTATTTCCATATTTTTCGTTTTGTTTCTAGTTAATTTTTTTCCTCCTTAGTTTAGATATTTTCTATATACTTGAGCATAGTGACAATGAGAATAGTATGATCTATAATTAAAAAACAAAAAAATTGATAGTTAATTTTTTTATATTATTTAAAAAAGAGTAAGGAAAAAAATCAATAAAATATATATTCTATAGATTCATGAATATACTTAAATTAAAAATTATAGAAAACCTATAATATTCAATTTTAAAAATTAAATTAAAAATTATTTGAAAAGTTAAAAAGAGTTATACGTTTTACTTGTAAAATTTAGAAAATGATTTTTTTTTTTTTCAAATAGAATTCAAAGTTCCTTTTTTGTCTAACTTTTTTCTTTTATAAAAAATAATTTTACTAAATATCGTGAAAATTTATGAAATTTACAAAATAATAATTTCGTTAATAGAAATTGGTGTAAGCATGTTAAGTGAGTTTGAAATTGAAGAACTATTTTTATAAGATTGTGTGTTACTTGTAAGAATTTTTGTGCAACCCAATTAAGTTTTATGTTAAAATGTTAATGGCAGACCTATAAGTGGAGGAAAACTGTTACTTCTTGTTTGCTCAAGTGGATTGCAAATTTCACATATATGTTGAAGTAGCTAGCACTCATATCCATATAGTTCAATTCATGTGTTATTAATTCCTAATTTGCTTTCTCTCTCTCTTGTTTTCTTTTTTCTATTATTTAAAGGGAACTGAAAAGGTTGAAGGTATGATGCTCAACTTTTCTACAGAAGAGATCCTTTGTTGTGCTAAAGCATTTTCGAAAATGATCAATCTAAGATTACTCAAGCTCCGCAATGTTCAACTTTCAGAAGGCTTTGATTACCTTTCCAACAACTTACGTTTACTTGATTGGGAAGGATATCCTTTAAAATCCTTACCACCAAATTTGCAATTGGACAAAATTATTGAGCTGAAAATGGATCAAAGTCGCATTGAACAAATGAAGCAGGGAATCAAAGTAAGATTAATCCAATTCCACTTTCCTATTTTAATTTTTATGGAATATTATTTATGCTATTTATTGTTTAATAAATATGAAAAATTAAGAAAAGCACATCTTTATCTAACTTTTTTTTTTTTCTTTTAACAGTCTTTCAACAATTTGGAATCTATCAGTTTTAGTGAGTGTAAATACTTAATCAAAACACCAAATTTTAAATTGGCCCCAAATCTCAAGGATGTGAATCTTTCTAGTTGTAAAATGTTGCGTGAGGTTCACCCATCTTTGTTGGTTCACAAAAAGATTACTTGGTTGAATATGTTTGGTTGTACAAGTCTTAAAACTCTTCCAAACCAGATTCATATGGAATCCCTAGAACGACTTTGTCTAAGTAATTGCTACAAATTGGAGAAGTTTCCAGAGATTGTAGGAATTATGGATTGTCTACGTTTCCTTTCTTTAAACGGAACTGCTATTAAAGTACTGCCAATGTCAATTGAACTTTTGAGTGGACTTGAAGCATTTTATTTGGAAAACTGCAAAAATCTCGTGAGTCTTCCTGTCACTATAAATGGTTTGGAATCTCTTCAAACATTTAATCTTTCTGGATGCTCCAAACTTGGTAACTTGCCAAAGACTTTGTGGCATGTTAAAAGCCTAGAACACCTTAGAGTAAATGGAACTGCGATAAGACGACCAATGGCGTCCCTTTTTCTTATGAAGAATCTTACAGAATTAGATTTTAGTGGATGCAAAGGGCCGCCATCAAAATCTCAGTTTTCAGTCTTCTTCAAGGCTTTTAGATTGCCCACTTTGTCAGATTTTTGCAGATCTTTAAAAACATTGGTTCTGAGTGACTGCAATATGGAGGAAGAAGCGATTCCTAATGACTTTTTCTGTAGCTTTTCTTCATTACGAACGTTAGACCTCAGCAAAAACAATTTTGTTTCACTGCCTGGAAGCATCAATCATCTTTCTGAGCTTTACTATCTTGACTTCAACGGTTGTAAGAGACTTCGATCTCTACCGGAACTTCCATCCAACATAGAATATATTAACGTAAATGGTTGTGTTGCACTGGAAACAACATCAAATGCATTAAGGTTATGCAATTCCAAGCTGTTTGATTTTTTATGTATAAACTGCTTGAAATTGACTAATCTAGCATCTTCAATGCCTAGAGAATCCCTTAAGGTCAGTGTATTTCTCTTTCTCTCTCTTCATCTTTTGAGTTAAACATTATTCTATGACTTTTCTTTCTTTTTTTGAGTGCAGGCAATGCCAGATCCTCAGCCAATGTTCATGCAAGATCCTAGCATGGTTTTTCCCGGAAGTAAAATTCCAGACTGGTTCCAACATAAGAGTGAGGCGTCTTCAATTAAAATGGAAGGGCCTCCAGATTCTTATGATAACAAGATGGTGGGATGTGTTGCCTGCTGTGTTTTCGATTTCCATGAGCGTCAGAGTCAAGATGAGGATGAAGACACGACTATACATGCAATGCGCTGCGATGCGACCGGTAACAAATGGAATGCTGCTGCGATTAGTTTTCGCGAGTATTGGGGCAAGACTGTGTCAGAGCATCTTTGGCTAACCTATTTTCATGAAGAACTCTTTCAAGATTTTGTTGAGCTTTCATTTTTTTCACATGATCCAGCATTGGCGGTGAAGAGGTGTGCGATCCATCCAGTATACGAGAAAGAACTGAAAGAATTGAAGAAAAGGACCAACAAATCTAGTAGCTCTAGTTTTGGGAATCTATATGAGTTTGATGAATATTTTACCGGATCAGCAGTGGATGTTGACTGTGATAGGTCAGAAGACGAACCAATCTCCAAGATAATAACATCTCCAAATTTCACATATGGCGAATCGAGCTCAAGGTAAATCTTTAATATTTGTTTGGTTTTAACGACCTCAACGAATGTTGCTCTTGATCTCTCATCAACTTTTTCCATTCTCATATAAATTTTGATGTGAAAAAGGTCTCGAGTGAATGAGAAAAAAATAGAAGAGTATTCTGACGATGAAGATGAACCACCATCAAAAAGATTAAAAGAATTATAATCCTTCAGCTTTAGAATCTTCTAAAGCCTACATCTTATACAGTGCCGTTTTACAAATATATTGGTTAGTCCATATCTCTATTTCTGATCCAATTCTATCTTATTTTTCTCCAATTTTAATTTCTATGCCCGATTGATGTAGAATATATAAATCTTTAATTCTATATTTTAATAAATCTCTAGACATTTTTATAATCTGTTTATTTTTGTTTGACATTAAGGACATGGGACATACCAATCAATATTTCTGCTTCAAGCTCTGTCTTCTCGGTCGACCTCGAAACATGTCATGATCACAATAACAAATTTATTGCAAAAGAGCTTCAGCTTCTAATAAGATTGAAGTAGTAAAAACATCCCATAAACCTTATTTCAATATATGATTCTAGTAATGGTTTCCCTTTCTTTGTTGTCTGCAATCCATCCACAAGAGAGTCCAAGAGAATTTCAAACTTTCAAGAACAAGACCATTGTGAATATTTATTTGGATTTGGCTATCAACTCTCCACATCTTCTCTTCGAGAAACAATTCTTGGAAAAGCATTAAAAGGAATACCTATCCATTTTCCTACTAAAGTTTCAAGTCCATGGATCTCTCTAAATGGAGCTATCTATTGGATGTTAAAATCTTCATCCTTGGTTGTTGTGTGAGTGGTAGTTTTGGGAGTGGTATTCATCAGATTCTGGCAAACCTTGAGTGGTCCACTGGACCAAGCTCTACACATTCCTCTTGAACATCTGCTTCCAATTCTGAATGTAAATTTTCATCAGCCCTCATTTCTGCAAGGGAGAACATATAACGAAGAACTACAGTAGCCAAAATTGCCACCCCAGCCAAATATCTTCTCTTCAACCTTCAGCTTCTTTTGTTGTCTACTTGCTTGGATACAAAGCTATCCCCTTTCTGCTCAAACTTAGTTTGGGTGACCGCATAGGGATCTTTCCACCTGGACGAAAAGGAGCTCCATCCAAAATGAATAGCCAAAGCAACTGATGGTTCTTTAAGATATGTTACAAGACCATCCGTCTTTCTCCCAGTCTCTTTATCCACATAGATTTTCCCATCTACAAGAACAATATCACCATGAGAGCCAGGAAAATATGGTGGGTAATCATAAAAGAATGAGATAAGATGTTCCTTTTCCAAGGTCTAGTACACATACCCTTTCTATGACTAGATTTACTGGTAGAATTGCTCCTTCCATAGGCCAGCTTGCGTGCCCTTTCAGCATCTAACTGAGCTCTATACTCTCACATCATTCTATTGGTATCTGCTTCTAGTTCACCCTTTCTTACCTCATCTTCCTAAAACATCAAGTACAGATATATGTGACAAACATGTAATTTCATAAATTTACAAAAATTAATGCAAGCACCAAAACCAGTAACTTGCACATATTCAAAAGGAACGCATTAAGAAAATGTTGTAATTAAACATGAATATATTGAAGGAAACAATGTAACATAAATATAAAAGAATCAGACAGGACCATTGAAGCGACAAAGTTTGGGTGAAATATATTATTAAGATTAAATGGTCTACTAAGCTGAAGTCAGGGTTGCAAAAGCGAACATAAGCTCCATTGTTATTATTCTATTCTAAATAATCTTTCACTATTATTAATACTGGCTTGCTTCTTAGTAGAGACAGATAATTACATTAAACTTTACACATATTTATAGCTGTGCATGGTTAAAATTGCAAGTTTCTGCCAAATTTGAGTTACATTGAATGAGAAGAACAATTATAGCTATGCGCAACAACTCGCCTTTTTCTTTTTTCAGAATTCTTCCCAGGTAATTGTATAAGAAGTTTTAAGGCTGGCCAAACGAGCAGCATGCCACCATGGTGAATGAAAAGACCCATCCACCTGCGAGGGCCCCATCAGAAATATTCCAAGAAAAGATAATCATCCATAGTATAGTTACAGAATTGAATGAAATTTTCTAAATGCATGTCGAGAAACCTTGTAAATGCATATCTCTAGAAGATGATTTAAGATTCACATCCGCAAAAACCAATGTATCCCAACTAATTATTTAGTTAATGTGTTAAAACGTATAAACCTATATAAATTCTCATCGCTGACAGATTGTTTTGTCATTCAATTTTCCAAAATATGGGTCAAAATTCACTGTCAACATAAATCGAAAAATAATAACATAAATAAAAGGTGTAAAATCTCTCAAAACATGGGCTCTCACTTTAAATAAGCATAAAGTTCTTTTCTTTTTTTTCCCCCTATTTGAACAAACTTTAAGAAGCAAATTACAATAGATCTAAAACATTACCCGTCACAGGTTGTATATTACTAAAATACAAAACTGAATCAGCATTACATACAATTCATACTTCCTCACTAATTTCACAAAAAGATGTTACAAATATCATGTCGAATGTTACCTATAATCCAAACAACAGTACCATGATTTCCCTTTTAAAAGTCTATAAATTTATTTACACAATCTCAATACCCTTTTAATAGTTTTATCAATATAACAATTATATCACTAAGAAAGCATATAATATTATTAATAACAATAAAAAAAACTAACAACACTAAGTAGAAGCAACTAAATAATTCCAAATACCCTCCTACAAGCTCATCAATTTAGCAATTTTATTACTTAAAAACACATAATAGTTACAAATTAACAAAATAATAAAAATAAACTGCTAAAGGATTATCAATTTTTATACACAATCCAAAAACCCTTTTGAAAGTTCATCAAGTTGGCAATTTTTGATAGAATAAATTAAAAATAATTAAATGAAAGTAATAACACTAAGCAGAAGCAACTAAATAATTCAACAAAATAATAACAATAATTAACAATTAAAAAAAATTGGGTATGAAAGAGTACAAACCATGCCGTCCTCGATCTCTTCCGGCGCAGCAGAGCTGGGGCCGAGGCGAGCTCGCTGCATGGCCTTGTAAGCTTGGTTTTTGCCCATTCTGAGAGAGACCGAGGTGACGAAGTGCAAGAAAATTTGTGGGAAAGTTGGAAACCCAGATAGAAAACGAAGGAAAATTTAAGAATTAAGCTGTTAACGGTCGAAATCCCATCAGAATTGAGAGGAAATATAGGGATTGTAATGTTTCTGCGAGAAAGAAGTTTAGAGATTGAAATTGAAAGAGATTAAACTTTTGAAGATGAGAGATCTCAAATCTTTGGCTCGGGAATTATGGGTTTGGTCTGTTGGTAATTTTCAATTAATTTTTAAAAAGAACAATTTTTAAAATAATCACCTAATTAAATGGTATCAATAAACCATTTATTACTTTATCTAACACTAAAAACATAAAAATTCCGAATTATGAAAATTTGTTCTTTTTATTATTCGCCCCATAATAATAATAATAGTTCAACTTTGAAATCATGGTTAAATAAAATAAAAATAGAATGCATTGGTGGCCTCGTTTGAGTAATTTTTTGATCATTTAAGAGGAAAAAGCTAGTCTCAAAGCTCAAAGCTCCTCTTATGCTTCTAGACCTTGTATGGGTGCATTCTTTATATAGAAATTAAGATTCTAATTGAGTTTGTAAAATATAAAAAACAGTTAAGGCAATTAGACAATCTCACAAGCATACAACATCAAATTTAATAAACTCATGCTAAACCCAAAGGCTATAATATGTACTAATTAATTAATATGTATTTTTCTTTAAATGAATTAATTTTTTTAAGAAAGAGATGTCGATCATATTAAATAGAATTGAGAAATGCTAAGCCATGACTACAAAAGAAAATAAGTCTAAGGTGAACTATGATTAAAGGAATACAAACTTCAATAGGAAGCGTATTTAATAGGAAAGCTAGAAAATATCGGATTTTAAATATGATTTAAATAATGGGATCAATAAGAACGTTGGACTTATCTACTAGTCAAAAAAGTTTATTAAGATGCTGATAAACATAAATAAAATTACCATAAAGTTTGAGAGATTTGGTAAGAGAATTTGAAAGAAGAAGGAAGAGAAACAGAAGAAGAATCAAACAAAGAAAAAGCAAAAACAAAAGAAAAAGAATCAAATAATTAAACAAAGACAAGAAAATGATTCAATACGTGCCAATAATTCTAATGACAAACTTTTTATACTTTTTCAAAAAGATTGAAGAGTCCATTTAATTGATTTTATTTTATTCACTTTAAGTTAATTACATTCTTGAATTATGAATCCAAATGTCAAGCAATTATTGATGTTTGTCAAATTATATACAGTAAATTTCAAGTAATTCAATAATAAATAATTATTATTGTTGTTATTACAACAAAAGAATGAGAAGAAAAAACAAAATTACCATTAATGCCCACCCAGAAAACTTAAAAGAGGCTGCCAAATGAGTTCAGTACAACCCGAAGAGGCCTTGACGGTCCATCTTCAAAGCCCTCCAGAGAACAAACAAGACAGGCCCAAAGAACCACATGTCAGCCCTTGTGCTGGTCCATTTTGTAAACATCCATCCTTGAACTAAGTCCATTGAAGTAGGCCGACATGCACAGGGATCTGTGTAAGTGGAGCAATACATTGGTTGTTGCAAACTATATTCTCCATTGCAGGGTTCGATTTGGAGGAAGAGAAGTTCAAAACCTTTGCGGTTCCTGAAGTTTTCAATAATAAGTTCGATTATTCGCTTTGAGTTTTGGGAGATTGTCTTGTGTTATATGGATCAAAACCTTACAATGTTTGGGTTATGAAGAAATATGGGGTGGAAGAATCTTGGACTGAAATTTCGATAGCCATTCCATTCAATTATATGCAGCCATTATGTTACCTCAAGAAGGACAGTGGGAAGATGTTGCTGTTTTTGGATCAAAAGAAATTGGTAATCTACTCTGAGGAATTTGGTACTTGTAAGGATTTAAATTTGGCATTCCCTCAAGGGTTATTTATTCTTCGGATGTGTATGTGGAGAGCCTTATCTCACCCAATTTCAACAATGGTTTATTTCTTTAGAAATTATTTGAGAAGAATTCTGTCAGATTGTGTCCTTAGTCTGGATTTATTTGTTCTGTGGATTTGTTATAGGGTCAACCAGGAAAGAACTGTTGGCTGAAATTATGTAACTACCGCATATTTGTTGCCTGATGTTTGATGAAATGATTGAAAGAGGGTTTGCATTTGAGAGATGAGCCCAATGAGAGTTATTTGACGAAATGCCTGAAAGAAAAAATTTAATTGTGTACTTCAATGGGGCGTGATATTCACATATGAATATCTTATGAAATGAAAATCCATAGCCATTTTAATGAAAGCAATATTATTCCTATAAATTGAATTTTCAGCTTGGGCTCAAATCAGTGAAAGAAGTAAGACTGTTTGGTGTGTACAGTTATAGCAAAGCATGGTTTGTTGGTCTGCTCAAAGGTGGCTTAGTTGCCAATTTCACAAGCGTTATGGAGTTTTTTTGAATGTTCTAGGAAAACTTCTATTCTGTTCATATTACCTATTTCTTATTCTTTTCACTGTTCATTGAAATGCTGATTATTTTTGCTTAAACTTTAACATCCTTTATCATATAGTTAATCCTGTGATAGAGATTTCTTTGAGGGGTATGGCTTAAAATGTCCCATCCCCCTCCCCTTTCGGTTCTTAAAGAGAGAGAGAAAAAAAATCAGTGAAGCTATCAATAATTCTTGGTTTCATAAGTTAGATTGAGATGAGATATGGCGTAGAAGAATAATGAGAATTATATTTGTTTTCCAAGGAACTACGAAACTTAAATATATCAGATGCAAGTGACATTACTCATCCGATCTCTTATAGGAACCTGGGACAATCCTGTAAAATGGGGACTAGTTGATATGTGAGGCTGACACTCCCAACTTTAGATGTGCATAACCATGTCCATGATACCATTTTCTTTTCTTTCATATACATTATTTAGCCCAACTTCAGTAAATCAAGAACTAATATGCACAAATCCTGCAATATATGGTATGAGGAGTGCTGTTGATGTACTCGAACAGGTATGTTTTCTCTGAACAGGGAACAGGTGTGGTATATGGATAACTAGAACTACTAGTTATTTTGTAAGAGTTTGGATGGCTTGATGAACCAGTTTGGTCAATGAGGCTTGGCTTTAAACACGTTTTTTTTTTTTTTGTAGGTCCCCTGTACCTTTATTATTGTTCGCAATCAAAGCTTCTTTTGGTAGGTCTGACAAAACAATAAAGCAAGAAGTATGATACTCTTTGCAGTTGTATATAGCCTTTCTTTAACATACACGGGTGACAAGAGAATTACATTGAAATTAGTCGAAATTAGTTAAATTATAATATTCATATTATATAATAAATAATAAGTCAATAGAGAAATTAATTATAACTATTATATTCATGAAAATATGAATATTAAAATAGTTAACGGTATGAGTAAATTTGGCAGCATATATATCTAAAACATTTTATTTTTTGGAAACAAAATTAAAATCTAGTTTATTATCTATGAAATCAATATAATTTAACAAAATAAACACTTAATTAATAAATCTTTAATTTTTCGTATATAAATATTAATAAAATAACATCTTAATTAATAAAATACTTTAATCATGACTTGCTTTTTCTCATTTGACTTGGTTTAGAATGGAAGGCAAATATGAAAAGGTGCAATACGTCATTTTCACAACCGGAGCAAAATTGAAAAGAGAATTATTCTCCTGTCATGCAATTATCATGAAATTTCTACCGACTTTCCTGGAAGGTTGCTGGCGTTTTCTCTACAATTTTCACGCAGATTTCATTCAAAAAGAGAGAGAAATCATTCATAAAATATAAGTAAGAAAGTTTAATGGTTTTGCATCAACTTCAAACACCTCAAAGCGTATAGTATAATTTCTTATGAAACATATTCATCAATATTTTCCTTCATTGCTCTTTTATTACTATTTGCCTTAGTTCAGATCTGGCTTCACATACTTTCTCTGGACCAATTGCATCTCACTATAGAACATTGAGATCAGGATACATTGTTTATTGGGTAACATACTTGGACTTTGACTTTTTTTTCTTTTCTTTTATTTTTATTTTATGAAAGTAATGATGCATCTATGTTTTAAACAAGCTAAACAAGTAGTTAAAAATTTTGTTGAAGATTCTTGATTTATAGTCTCTCAAGTTTTCAAAAGTTCGAGTATCAAATCTAAACTTCCAAGGTTGATTAATTGTAAGTGCCTCTGTTCTTTCCTGGATTGTTTCTTTTTGTTTTGTTCGAATATTTGTTCACATAATTTTTAGATAGTC